TTTTATTGATATTTGCTTGGGCTTGGGAAAAGTCTCAGTGAAGAACTTTTTAAAGTTAATTTTGTAAAGATTTGCAGAGGGACTCAAATATGCGGCATTGAATGTTGCCAAAGAAGACACCACCCCTTGTTACATCATCTGAAGCTGCACCCAAACAGGACACTAAGCCTGATCAAACAGGTCCTGGTTCGGGCTCAGAGGATAACAGCACAACATCAATGCAAAATACCACACTTCCCTATATCAAGAGTTGGTGTAACAAATTCATCATCCAGGTTTACAAGTTGTACCAGTCAAGGTTACGGCCCCCTATGGCAATTGTATGACAGAAACGTATGCGTTCCTGAACAGTGAGTCCAATACAACTATATGTTTATCCAGCTTAGCTTAAGACCTTGGTGCTGATTGTACACCTGTTGAGTTCATTATCAACCATGTCTGGGAAGCAGAAGTGAAGATGTCATCAATTGTCTCTTGATGTTTTCGGGGTTGCCACTGGTAAGGGCATTAGATTGAATAAGTGTTGACAATTGAAAGTTTGCCGGTTCCCCTAGAGTATTTCCTCAGCTACAGACATTAAACAATGGTCTCATCTTAAGGACGTCAACATTACTGGCCTAGAGATAAGAAAGTCACCATTCTCATTGGAAGTGATGTACCTGAAGCTCTTTGTCCTCTTGGAGTATGTTCTGGAAAGAAGAATCAACATCACATCAACCATTAGGTTGGACGGTGTACTTGAAAGGGAAGAGTTACCAATAGGCTCCGATAATGGACGCAGTCAATGCAACCATCACAATCAAGTATCATGAATATTCATAACATCAATGGTCATGGGAAGTGCAAAACCGGGCAATCGAGGAGCATCGCCGGCTATTTGGATTCTCTCCGCATTCTTTTGGTAGTGGGGCACATTCCAGCGGTGGAAAACGGAACCGAAACAAGGGGAAGGGTAGTAAAAGCAAGAAGGCTAAATGCACAACGTGGACGCATGCCTTCGTGTGTATTCGCAAGAAGAGTCAGTGTTGTTTACCTTCCCCGCAAGAACGGTATGAGCTAAAATGTACTGGCCTTGGTGAAAAGAAAATCACGATGGAAATTGAAAACAAAGGATTCGACGAACTATATAGAGTGCTGTTGGAAGAATTCCCACTTTTATCAAACGCTGGTGGGATAGACCTTTTGAGAACTGGTTTTGGTGCAAACAGCAAAACCCTAGAAGTCATACCCGTGCCTCGTGGTTCATCGACTTACACCATCGAGTACTTGAAAGATATCCTGCAGCAGGCAAAATGCTATGTTAGACCTATTCAAAGGGACCTGCCAAAACCCGCTATCAACAATGATACTGATAACACAGATGAGAAAACACTTGTTGTAAGTATATGTCACTTTTAATATCACAACCAATAATTTTAGCTTAATATTAGTTAGGTTGAATTTTTTGAATTTGAATAAATTATTTTATTATTATTATTATATTATTATTATTGTTATTTTTAGAAACCATGCCCAACTGAAGAATGCAAATCTTGCCAAAAGAGAATTCCAATTTTGCACCTGAGAGCCCATATAATGGTGTGTGAGAGCACATCAACTGATGAGGTATGAAAAATACATCCAACTCTGGTTATTGAGTTCCAATAGGACTCGAGTGTTTACTGGTAGTATGAAATAAAGTTATAATTGTGTATACTGTAGGGTGTATACTATATCATATTGAAACTGATGTGATTTTATGAATTTGGGTATTGTTTGAATGTTATTTTGAGGGATGTGATTGTGTTTTTCTTCACTTGACTGGTAAATGTGGGTAAATTAGTAAATTTGGGATTGATGATTGTAATTTAGTTAGTAAAAGTAATTCATTTGGATATTTGTCATTAGCCCATTGCCACTGAGATGTTCCCCCTGACAATCTAAAATCTGTTGGCATTACCCAGAGTAAAATCTGTTACAGTAAGAGGCTGGTTCTGGCCGGTGCTGGCATTAATGGGTTAATATTGAATAACTCTGTGTTTATCTTTGTTTAACAAGGTTTTGCATATTTCTGATGATGATCTTCCTGAGTCCAACTTATATGAAGCATTTCCCGCATGTGGGTCATCTAGCATGTCTCTCACTAGTGGGTGTAGCATTTCTGATGGTGTATCTGAAGTGAGTAAAATTTCTCTTTGCTTTTGTATCCATAATACACTTGCACATATGACTAAAATAATTTGATTATCAATATCAAGCTATCAGTATGCTGCTTCATGTAAATGGTTATGATAAATTTGCTGTTGTTTTTCAGGGTCCAGGTATCGATGAATTAAGAAATATATTTCCAGATGCCCCTGCTGATGATCTTGTGCAAGCTATGATGCAAGGTGGGAATGTCAGGGAAGCAATCGACATCTTACTGCCAGCAGAGGATGTGACAGTGGGTAAGCAATATAATCTTTCACAACAGGGCACAAACAGTACTACATAAAAATTAACTGACAGAACTTTTCAATTACTCTCAATTTACTAAAATACATGTATATATCTATATATGTAAATCCTATCATCCTAGATTCACATTCTTATAGGCTATTTGTAGATACTTTTTTGTTTGGGATCAATCTTATATGAAATAATTGAAGATAAATGTCTCTTTCATTTTTCATGCAAACTTTTCAGTTTCTTTTTAATTTCCTGTCTTATTGCAGAAGTGATAGAATCAAGTTCTTGTCAGTTTTTACACACCCTGAATACCTCCATATTAATAAACTTGGACATACTGTAGGTCTTATGATTCATTGCTGGTTAATGGTACAGTAAACCCAGGTTGACAGGACTCAAATTATGAATACAGTATTGTGTAATTAATTGTATATCCTGTGTAGTTCGTGGCAAATAGCAGAATACTAGCTGCCATTTCATTGGTTTACAGCAGGGCAATTAATTGCACCATTGCTGAGCTGTAATTGCACCCTTCTCAACAACCAATAGAGCAACTATACCTATCAGAGTGAAGGCAGAATTAATGAACTTCCGCAGTTGAACATATAATAAACTTAATGTTATAGCAAGAAAGTGTACAGCTAGAAAAAACATAAAGCAGAATAATAAAATGTGTGACAGCTATGTCTCTTTTAAATAAACGCCACCCCCGAACAAGTGCCGCCCTCGAATAAGCACCGCATGTTGGACGAGAAAAAATTATTAAGAGCCACGGCGCTTGTTCAAGTAAATACGGTAATTAGTAAGTAGTAGTATGAATTTTATTCATGCTATTTATGCCAAATCATACTCGTGATTAACAAATCAACCTTTTAAACTAATAACTTGTATGATTTTGGCATTAACAACACTCCTATTAATTCTGTTAATTTCCATTATTAATAATGTTAATCTGTTTACAGTTCCAGACCAACAGTGCATTGCTAGAGAAGAAGAAGACCTTGACAGTGTGATGAACAGGTTAAAGGAACCATTGCCTGTTTTGGGCATTCAGAAATTTTATATTGATCGCCAAGAGCTGTGGGAGGATAGTGTTGCTGCGTTTAAGAACCTAAAATTTAATCCTGCCCATCGCCCAAAAGTACGTTTTGAGGGTGAAGCTGGTATTGAAGCTTACGACAGTAACTATTTTCAGCCAAAGCACACTTGTTTGAAGGGCAAGATGGCAATAAGTTGCCAATATTCAACATAAATGGCATCCAATCCAACCTTTTCTTTCTGGCTGGCAAGATGATTTCTTACCTCATCGTACATCTAGATATTGGTATCCCAGTTCTAAGCCCAGCATCCTATAGCTACGTTGTCAGTCAAGACATTAATATAGCATCAGAATATTGCTGTGTTGATGATGTGTCTGATTATGAGATCAAAGAATTAATCATCAAGGTAAGTTGCACATACAATTCTGTATGTTTTCGTCTACCAGGTAGGCCAATACAAAATATTTTCTACAGATGCATCCCCCATAGATGGTTAATAATATCCGTATGTAATTTAGGTAAACAAAGCAGAAAGTATGGAAGAACTTGCTCAAATAACACAGGCCACTGAAATTATGGAAGAACTAATTAGAGCTGGTTGGCTTTCAGCACTCACTTTGGAGAACAGAGACATGGCATTACAGAACCTTATTCTCTATGAAACACTTACAAAGCGCAAAGAAGCCATGGATCAGTTTTGTAAGGGTCTCAAAACACTTGGTGTGCATTCAGCTATCCAAGCATCTCCTGAAGTGATGAAGGGATATTTTACTTTGCAGCCATCACAGCTTACAGCTTCAAAAGTCATTGACTTGTTTGAGAATATCCATTCAGTCCATGAATGTGAGGAGGCCAATAGAGCTTGCAGTTTTCTGGTTGGTTCTATTCACTCTTTAGAGCAAGGTACTCCAATAGTGTGTATGACCCTATGTACAATTACTAGATGTTTTGGTATGTAGTATTGCTGTATATGTAATGACTGTTGTAGCAAGCAGGTTTAAGAACAAGTGATGTCTCATTCTCATTTAGAATGTATGTAATTATATTTTTTCAACTTTTTTTCAGATGAAGGGGAGATTGGGCTGAAGCACTTCCTGCATTTCATGACTGGAACAGATGAAATTCCACCACTTGGCATACCACAAAAAATTAAAGTTGAATTTGTTAAGCAGTCACACTTCTTTGCAGAGACATGCATGTTTGAATTAAAGGTGCCAACTAGCCACGAAGTCTTTCAGGAATTCAATATTGCATTTCTGATGGCTTGTGCAAACCATAAAGGTTTTGGATCAGTTTAGTTAAAGTGGCAGTATGATTTAAAAAGTCAGCAATCCAATTTTTATTGCAACAAACGGTTAATCAGTGCATAATATCTTCCCTTGTTCTCGTTCTTTTTTCAAAATATGTCAATTTGCATGTTATGCAATTTTCTCAATGTATAATAATGAGATTTATAAAATAACTAATATCTCGAGATGTTTCTGTCAGAATTAACTGAACTTCTGTATCCGTACTGCGATGAGCTATTAATAATTATGTTCTGTTATGAAGAAATTGTAATGTTCTCATATACAACCCTATACCGTAGTTTGTGCTGAACTCACATGGATTTACATGCATTTTAAGCTGTTGAAATTGTTCAATGGAAATTGGTACTTCCACATTTGGTACTTCCACATTATCCGGCTGGTTGGCTTCCTCACCATTATAAAACTCAGTGGGTAATGGTCCATCCCAATCTATGCCAAATGTTGCTGCTTCATTCTAAAAGGGAACAGTGATATTTGATATTGTTTATATTTTGGGTGGATTTTTAGCCCCTGTTTAGAATCTTGTTTGCGCAGGGGAGCTGAGTTAGTAGGTTAAGCTAAGTACTGTATGAGGAAAATGCAGTGTGTCTACCATACCTCTGTCAGTTCCTCAAATACTGATCCCATTTCGGAAGTGTTCATCCTTAATTGTCCCTCAATCCATAGCTGCATTGGTGACTTGCCCCCAGTACCTGAAAGTGTGTGCTCATTCCAAGACTTCATAAACTGACTCAAGGAGTGATTTACATGAGGGATAAACACATAATGTAAAGCAAAGATATGGAGATCATTATCAGGATCAAGCACACCACAGGTCTCCAAGTGGTAAAACAGATCATAGAATAAAGTGACTACTTGGTAAAAAAGATCCCTCCAAAGTCTCTCGATACGTTGGTTGTGAACACTTTTTCTTGTGATCATACTGCCTCTTCCTGGACCCCGATCTGCATATGATAACATGAACATAGACACCCCAACATTTTCTCCACCTTTATCACTTCTAACCCGAGATGGCAAGCCGTAGCAACCAACAGCTTGTTCAAATAGCTCCAAAACAGTGTCAGATCTGTTATTGTTTGAGCAGGATAAAAATACTGGAACTCTTGAGTAACCATCTATTCCACCATGGATAACCATTTTCCATCTTCAAGAAATAAACAGTTAACTTTATGTCAACATGGATTATAACCAGTTTCAATTTGGTTATCAAAGATAACTGGTGAAACTATTATATGTTAAATTATATTAATAATATAAATATTGATCATTAGGTCTAACTACCTGATAAGTTTATGGTAACCATCAATATGCCACAGTGAATTTGGTCCCTTAACAGAATATGTCCTTCTGTGAACAGCAGCCATCCATCTTACGAGTGTGCCCTCTGGGTCCACCCTACGCACAGATGTTCTCACTCGATGTTGCTGAACCTTTAACCCCCGAGAACGCAAGTGTCCAATCACCATTCTATAACCACACTTGGGATGGGCATGTTTAATGTCAATAACCACACTGTCTAACTGCTCATCAGTTGTTTGGGAAAATGGCTGACTGCTGTCAATGTGATTTTCACGCATGCGCCGCCGGATCGTACTCAACGAAACTCCGAGCATATTGGCTACTTGTACAGCTGTGAAGTTGTGTTCGACAAAATACTGCAATTGATTCCTTGAAACTTCAAACTTTCTTCTACCTGGCCTTGATATTTGGGCATTTACCAGTGCTTCATCAATTAGATTGGGTCGTTGCAAGATATCCACAAAACGCCTAGAGTTATGTAACAAATTGGCGCCATATTCATATTGATATCGGCTATTTTGTGCAGATAGGTTTGCCAGGATGTGATAAAGATCATCCGAACTATCGCGTACGTTATCAATAACAGAGACATCGGCTTCCGTGGAGATACACTCAGTTACATCAGCTAATAACATTTCAAGGCGATTTATGAGAGCAGTTTGTACTTCGTCGCAGTGGTCGCAGTCGGCTGCCATCTTGGAAACTGGAATCAGGGAGCAGCGCAATGCACGATGGGATTGTTGCCGAATGAACGACCATTGCAAAATGATCACGGTTGTTGCCAAATAATAAACATTTTAAGAAATTATTTAACATCGCCAAACGATTTTATGTCAATAAATAAATTGCGATTTTCGATGAATGTTTCATTGTTGTCACAGGATACCAAAAACATAGCGAAATATTGCATGGTCATTGCCAAAGTGTGTTATTGAATTTTGACACACATCACCCGCCATAGGTTTTACCAATTACTAGGTTTTTATATCCTCTAGGCAATCTTGGCATCTTGGCACACTCAGCCTGATCCACAAAACTTCAAACTGATCGTTATTAAGGTCATTGATTACTTCGTAACTTATATGATCTCTGATGTAAATACTGACACCCCCATGTTGGCAATTGGTTCTGTCTCTATGGATAAGATTGTAGCCATGGATACTAATTACTGTATCTTGCATATGCCTTTGTAGCCATGTCTCCACGAAACTGATGAACTGAAAGTTTTTTCTCCAAGTATAATGTCTCTAATCTCATCAATTTTCGGTGCGAGTGACATTACATTATCAATTTTCAGTGCGAGTGACATTACATTATCAGTAGAGTAAGAAGGAGTTGCAATTGTTTCTTTTCACAGAAAGCATGACAGCATCTTATCCTTACCTGGGAGACCTCTTGTAGTCGACAGGGTTGGTTGAAATTATGGATAATTTCAGTCTGTTTATAGAGACGAAGTCAGCTACAAACCGTACAATGGCGTACTGGCCTAAACAAACAATACAGAGTTAGGCACAAAAATTACGAATCTCGTATTCATAGTAGTATTCAATCCTAAAGCTGCCTATTGTCATTCTTGATGTGACAAAAAACAATAGGAAATTTCTGAGTAACTTCAGATCACTGTTATAGCTGACGGTCATTTGTATGGATTACATGTAGGAGCTCTCCAGGTAGTGGTTGAGAACTGGACCTGTCAAAGAGAAGATTGGTGCGGATTTTCGTCAACAGCATGCGACCAGACAATGGAGCAAACAAGTTTCACAATGACCAATTGCTGCAAGGACCGGACGTTACAAACTCTTTGGTAAGCGTTTTGATAAGATTCCGACAGTAGCGGTAACAGCTGATGTAGAGAAGATGTTTCACCAAGGTAAAGGTAAAACTGGAAAAATTGTAGTATATATGCTGAGGTTATTCTGGTGGCCAGAAAGCGATCTTTCGAAGCAACAGTGAATATATCAAATGACAGTCCACCTATTTGGTGTGACCTCCTTGCCAAGTTGTTGTTCCTATATGCATTGAACAGAACTGTGGAGGATAATTTGTCAGAATTTAGCAGAGAAACCATCAATATGATACACCGATACTTCTATGTGGACGATTGCTTAAAGTTGTTGTCAATGAAACAAGAAGCCATCGGGTTGACAAAACTCCCAATATTACTCTAATGTTGCAGTTTCAGACTGATGAAGTGGTTGTCGAACAAGAGAGGTTTTATCTTGTGTACCAGACAACATAAGCGCACTGTGCGTGAGTCTTAACTTAGAAAATTTACCAAAAGATAAAGCCTTCTTGGATTCCGACGAAGTTGATATTTAAAGACAAATACAAGGGAGGGATTTTATCCTCTGTCGCTATCCACTTGGCTTGGTCGCTCCTGTGGTAGTGCTAGCAAAACATGTGCTGCATGAACTTTGTCGCAAGAATTGCAGAAAGGATGAAGAGATTTCTAAAGAGATTGCCACGAAATGGGAACTCTGGCAGAACGAATTCCAGTCACTCACTACAATAGAAATTCCGAGATGTTACAAACCGCTGGGATTCAAAGCGATCAAGACTATAGAGCTCCACCACATTGCTGACATTTCATCCAAGGGATACGGTACAGCATCATACCTTCAGTTCCGAGATATCAACAGAAGAATCCACTGCAGTGTAGTTATGGGAAAATCAGTAGTGCCTCTAAAAACAGTCACAATACCAAGACTAGAATTAACTGCTGCAACATTAGCTGTGCAGGTAGACAAGCAAACTCACTAGGAACGAAATTCAGTGTGTAGTCTTTTGGACTGACTTGACCATTGTTCTACGATATGTCAGAAACAAGTCAAAGAGGTTTCAAACCTTCGTTGCGATTCACAACAGATTATTCAACTTCAGATTATTCAAGACATCAATGGCAGCATGTTCCAACAAAGCTAAAACCTGCAGATCTCGCATCCAGGGGACATTTTGGAAGTAAAGTTCGAAACCAATATAACTTGCAATTCTGGTTCAATGGACCCATTCAATGGTCGATTAAAGCAAGTTTGACCTATGATATATGGAGCTCTTGGTATTTAATAAAGGTAGTACCAGTATACTTCTGTTACCTTGAAAAGCATCAATGGACATGAAACAAAAATAAAATTATATTAAACTACAGTAATTGCAAAATGTATCAATGTGTTCAAAAAATGCATATCCTCTGCCCAAATTTATTGCACTATTTGAATGTAGAAAGTATGATTGACTTTCACCTCAGCCTGTCAAATATCAAATTGGCTATATTGATATTGTGCTGATTTTCAGGAATGCGGATGTAGAAAGTATAATTCACTTTGACTTTCACCTCAGCCTGTCAAATATCAAATTGGCTATATTGATATTGTGCTGATTTTCAGGAATGCGGATGTAGAAAGTATAATTCACTTTCACTTCAGCATTTCAAATATCAAATTGGCTATATATACTGTTACTGTACTGATAATCAGGAAAGCTTATTCATTAATAGCTTACTAATTGTTTTAACTACATTCTGATGTAGATCTGTAACTTCTTAGTCAGTTTTATCTTACTGGTATCAGTTTTATGGTTGTTATACTGGATTTGTTACATTTTGTAATAAATTATATATTTGTTTCATTTATGTTTACACATATAACAGTTTCATGGTTTTAAAAGTTTTCCTTAATAATCATCGCAAGTATTATTAATCAACTGTATGCTGCTGGTTCTTCATTTTCCACTCCAGTTAAGTTAAGTTATGTTAATGCATCTTGTTATTTTGCCTGCATTGATGTCACACTTGCCCCAAACTTTGCATAGTTAACTCATAATTAACTCAGAAATACACAACTCTCATTGGCCAATTCTATCTTTAACTACAGTTAAAAGTTAATTAGTCTTTTATGCAACTGGCCCCAAAATGTCTGAAGAAAACTGTCATCCCTAAAATTCATCTAAACATTTTACTGGTTTCAGAAATAAACAACCAGGCAGAAGCAAAGATTTTTAACTCAGATCTTCTGCAGCATGTTTTTCTTCCAACAAGCACTCCTAGTTTAGCAGGTACATGAATTGCTGCATAGCATGTTTATTTAATTGCGTTATGGGTTGTTCTACTGGGTCAAATACAGGGTACACACTTGTCCAAGCATGAGGAACACAAGGTAATGCTCCACTACCTCATGGAAATTCAAGGATGGACAGGCCTTATGCGAGAGTTTTTAAAGTACTTTAAAGAATTGCAAGTTTCTAAAGGTAGAAAGAGTCAAAATCCAAAAGAAATTCTGGACAGTGTCTACCATTCAGTTGGCGATGTACGAGCTACGAGGAGATTTTAACAATGCATACTTCAGCTAAAAAGACTAAGAAGTCAAACGAAGAAGACAATATGCAAGGGAACGTTGGCAAAGCATTTGGCAATTACTGGAAAAAGCAAAGTGGTACAAGAAAGCCCTGACTCTGTGTTTATTTCAGAATGCAGAACTCATCCAGACAACTTCAAGACCTGATCCGTTTCTTACTGTTTCGAAGGAGTTCAGCATCATTGGTGTTGACCCAACTTTTAATATTAGTTTGAGGGTGATGACATATAGAAACCTAAAACTTCGTCACAACATATGACAAAAAAATCTCAAGATACAACACTCTCATTGCAGAATGACCAGCCCTAAAAAGGCATTATTGCGTACAGCACAGATAGAGAGAAAGCCTTAATCAACAGTTTGCAATTTAACTTTTGCTTTGCTGTGAGCCTTAAATGTTTTTCTTCTTGTCAGAGATAACATCAAACCTGAATTAGACAGAAGAGGCGCTTTGTATGCTGCAAAGAAAAAGATCCTGGAGGAGATATTGGAAAAACAAGTGTATAACCTAAAGTATGAAGGGTTGGGGATATATATATATATATATATATATATATATATATATATTGCGTCCATTCTTCGATCTCGTCGTATTAATCTATTCTACCATATGTATTGCCATTACCACATACCTCTACTCAGGTAGTTTGTAAGATGGATTTAAAAACATACATCTACTATTTATACTAGCATACAGCATAAAGTACAATACTAATTAGTGTAAATGACTTGCATATGTTATCTAATAACTATACTACAAAAATGTTCTTACTTTACCATAAGACACTATGAACATTGACATTTACTTAGCTTTGCTTTACAATTCCTAGCTTTTCTTTGCATTCTTCATATTCTACATCATTGTTTATACCGACAAAATGTAGGAAGGTTCAGGGTTGTGTCACAAGTATTAGCTTGTGGTCAAACATCTTTCCAAAATGTAAAAGATGGTATTGGGTTAAATCCAAGTGGTGGAATTAGATCAGCACCAATTGCGAATGTAAGCACTTCTCCAAGAGTTGTAGCTTTAACCCTGTAGAACCCACATAATGATAAGCAACATCTAACATTTATTCTATTGGTTTTTTATGATATTTTAGTCCTATTTTACACAAAAAAGGGAAAATCGTTCTGATGATTTTGGAAAATGTGACATATGTGTAACAATGGGTATTTTGCTGTGTTTACTCACTTCATAGGTTTTTATATATATTTTAACCATATATATATTTAAAACTAAACGATTAAACATACTTTCTGTATTTAGCAAGATCAAACAACATTGTTATAATAGTTGCAACATTTTTAACTTTA